CCAGTTATTAGCCAAAAGCCCATCGAGGCAGGGAGCTCAGCAACACCTGGAACAGGAGGCCAGAAACACCTTTCAGCTCTAGGGAATGGATCAAGGCACTAAATGGATGAGACTGGAGGAAGAAAGGGGAGTGCAGCTAAAAATGGGCTCCAGCCTTCTCAGAACCAAAAGGAACTTCTGATCTCCCACAGACTGTCAGTGCCCAACTCGGCCTCAAGGACACTAAAAGTGAAGTCAAGGACAGAAGAAGCCTTCACTGAGCAAGTGGGATGCAACAACTTGGAGACCTCTGCACCCACTTGCACAGGGAGAGAGGTGTTTTACACGGCACTTGCTGTGCAGGTCTAAGCAGCTCTCTTATTCTTGCCAAGCCTGAGATCAAGACCACAGAAGAGGGTTCAGGCACAGCTCAAAGAGACAATTAGTGCAAAAGGAGTCGCCCTATTCTCAAGAAATCTTTATTGTGTAATGGTGCCTATCGTGCAAAGACACTTCCTCTTTAGGGAGAGCAAAACCTGCCACAGAACAAAATGCTGGAAGATTTGTTGTGCCGGATGAAGAAGAGGAAGGGATGATCAGCAGTGAAATCTGGAACAATCATTGCACAGCGCATCATCATTATTGCAGCTGTGGCAGCAGCTGCTTCAGTGCCTTCTTCGTTGACTTCCACAAAGGACTTGTGAACCACTTCAGAGAGCACCAGCTCGTTGCCAGATGAGATTCCCGAGAAGTCTGCTTTCCCCAAGTCAAATGCATCAGGCATTCCCATGCTGCTCAGAATGGGTTTCAGGTCATAATTTTCTTCCAGCTTAAATCTAGGTAAAGACACCCTCACCTCCGTTGAGTCCATCATTTCAGGATTGATCCAATCTATCAGCTTCTCATATGTAAGTTCTCTTTCCAGCTAAAGAAAAACCCCAAATTTATTTAGTTACAGTGAGAAGCAACTCAGTGTTACACAAGCAAAAGAAATGACTACTGTTTGTTTACACAGTGCATAACATGCCTCTTTTTTACTGTGCTTTAGTGTGTCTCATGCCAAAAGTGCAAGTTATACTTCTCACTACAGATGACAGCCCCAGGCAAGATCATTCCCTCATGCCTTTTTGGTAGGGACAATAGGGAATAATCCCTTCCACGTAATGTTTACTTTTACAGAACTCATTAGGATTGTTGGGGGTTTTTTATATTTTTACATATGGGAAGCAATGGCACAGGAGCTGCTGGCCAAGTCCCAAAGAAACTGAACTCAGTTCATCTGTCTCTTAACCAGTGGTTCCTCCTTCAGGTCAGCAAGGAATAAAAAAAAAAATACTCCAAACTTGTATCCCATCTTCAGTAGAGGAGATCCTACCCTCTCCTGGGAGCCTGTTTCCAGGTGGTGTGCCACAGACCATCTGTCAGCTGCTCAGAACAGATCTACAGGAGAAGCCGCAGGACTTCCTAAGAGGCCACCCAAATTCCCTCCCTCCACATATGATGCTCATCATACCATGCCTTCACCATAACCACAGCTGACCTCTGCTCCTGAGGAGGCTCAGATTTTCCTCCAGAGCCTCTGGCTAAGGAGGCAGCACCCAGCTTGAGCAGCAGTGACACCAGGTTGGCCACTCACTTTGAGGGCAAGGAAGCGTTGGACATTTCAGCTGGCATTGACCACCAGTGACAGACTAGCTCTGGAACCAAACTGCAGCTCTACATGCTGTACCAGACCTTCTTCCCTGGAAGGATACAGCCTGTCTTTGCATTCAGCTCAACAACTTACTCTTTCCAAGCCCGTGGATCCATCCTGGATGGCATCAGGGAGCAGGATGATCATGCTGAGTTCATTACCGACATAGGGCAGCTCAAGGATTTTGGTCTGCAAGTCCCCAATATAGGTCATGTTAAATCTATCCTTCTTGAACATCATCTGCACAGGCTTGGTCTCATTCTAAAAATTAAGAGATGTCAACAGTTAGTGCTGAGCTGCTATGCTGGTCTCAAAATACAGAGCAGGCAGCCAGTTAATCAGGGTTTTTGAGAATTTGACCAAAGAGAACTAATCACACACCACAGAGTGTAACCCTAGCACTGTCTTCTGTAAATCACTAAGATTCACTGAGATTTAATTTTTCATTACTATGGTAGAAATCTCTGTGAAGATGCCTTTAAGGAAATATGGCAAATATGTATCCTTGCCGTTTTGCTCCTTAAAGAATTAGTGACAAACCCTGAACAGTGCGGTAAGAAACAGGGACTATGTTCCTCGCTCTAAATGAATAAAAGTAATTTCAACTTATATACTTTCATTTTTAGTCCACGTGGTTCCAAGTACTAGAAAAAATACTTTCAAATTATACTAAAAATACCGAGAAAGTGAGAGCGTTATTTTGAATTCTAACAAGTCAAAAGCATAGTAAGGAGGGAAAATATTTTCATTCTCTGCTCTCCTATTCCATTTCCACATGGACCATCAGCAACTATT